AGCATGTGATGGTTGTAGGCAAAAAGGTGCCCTCTTAATCGGCCTTTTAGCGACCCAAGCTTGGCCATCCCATAATATACTGGATTGACACATGGTGTTGGGTGATGAGGCCGATATTTTGATCTGGGAACTCACAAAGATTGGAAATAGAGTAATACTCGACGCCAATTCACAGGAGCTAGTATCCTTTTTGATAAGTCTACCCGAAGGTCTATACTTTCCTATTTCTTACATCAATTTATCTCCTTCAATCAACTTCCCGCGATTATCTCCCGCGAATAAAACAAAAACAAGTTCAAAAGGTTTTTGTATTTTTGACTAGCTTGATTAAAGACGTAGAAATATCATTGAGTTTTCTGTTTCTTATCTCGTCGACAGCACATCCAGCACATTAATCGAAGTGTGTACTTTATCACCATAATCACCACCAAAACTACCAAAACCAGGAACACTGCTACATCTACCAGGAAATACTGGTACCAGGGAAGTTGAGTGGAGTACGGACGTAGATGTGCAAGACTCTCGTGTCTAAGGGCGTACTCTATCCAGTCACCAGCCTCCTGGACAGGGCTACGTGGACGGTCTTGCATCAGGCGTGAAATGCGCTGGGCGTTTTCGCGGAAACTAAAAACAAGAAATATTTTCATGACAATCATATCTATCACTCCACTTTACTGGGGGCAAACGAAAATCAAAATTATTCTATTGGCCTATAGTCCCCTTCACGGTTACGTGCGCCATGTTAAAAGATAGCCGTACCTTTACATCGAAGCGAGACAATCGTTGAACGTGCAATGATAGATACCTGTGAATAATTGTCTGTAGGTGTGAAAGAAGATTTATATCATTGCACGCTCAACGGTGGTCTCGCTTCGATACAAAGGCATGGCTACCTTTCAAGATGGCGCAGGGAACCGTGAAGAAGGCTATTGCTCAATCTTATCAAAATACAGTTTGCCATTCTTAATCCCTCAAAGAAGCAAGAACAATACAAAAACGCATTTATTGGTGATTGCGGCGATCTTATGGACATCAGGCCTCTCTATAATTATTATAAACGATAATGCAGTCAAATTCAGCACCTTGGTTCATGGATAACACGCTGTATTTTGTTGTACAAATCGTCAACCGTTAGATTGTTGTAATCAACAGTCAAAGCGACTCCTTTCTCCACCATTTGCGCTGTGTTGTCAAACTGATCTGCATATAAGGGTATAGCAACCACAGGCACCCCGTAATACAATGTCTCGTACATGCCATTCATACCAACGTGAGAAACGAAGGCACGTAGCTTCTCATTGGCTAATAGATCATTCTGCGGTATCCAATCACGAACGATTATATTATCACAAAGAGACGATGGTTTGTATCCTGCGATTAAATAAAATGAACTGAAATGAGAGCTTGAGGCAAAACTTAACCCATAATTCACTCAAAAGATATCTGAAAAGCTGTCTTAGATCAAAGAGGTCTGCTTAGACTTGATAAATAATCCTCCAACAAAATCAATCCTACCTTGAAGTCTCCAAATCACTTTCTGTTTTAATCTACCAAAAGCCTCAGCCATGATGTCAACTTTGTCTTTATCCAACACTGAAGCTACGTTGGATCCAAAAGACACGATAATGGCTCCGTCATCACCAGAACTCTTGATCTCTTGTCTTAGACAAGAGGGTAGTGGCTGTACGGGCTGGATGCTCACAGGGCCAATTGACTTGTAATCTTAAAAAAGGAAATGCTTTAGGTCCGATCAGGGACACGGAAATGGCGCAATAATTGCCCAGATTTATCCAGATGATAGCGCTCCTAATTCACCCTTTCGTACAATTGATTCCTGTATAACTGTTCCTATAGCGCACTTTAGACACTGGGCAGAAGCAGGGTCGGATCAAGAAATTTTTATAGGAATGTGGCACATCTATAAATCTTGTGTTGGTCTGTCAATCCGCCTGAATTATGCAAGTTACATGAACATGTATTGCTATATGTATATTAATTATATCTAGGTAGGACTTTACAACCCCCTTGAATTCGCTCCTTCAGAAGAGATGGCTAATGCTCCCTACTGAAAACGTTGAATACTGAAGATAGCGTATTCCAAGTCCGAAATGCATTGATGGCGATCGCCGTCAATGTGACGAGTTGTCGTGGCTCCAGTTCCGTAACAGCCCAGAACTTCAATTGAACGAATTAAGTTAAGAATTGTCATTATGTAAAGTAGATAAGATTGAGTTTGATAGCAGTAATGCATTGCTGTCTTAAGGTTTAGTATTACCTGTGGACTTTTCAGTATTCAACGCTTTATGAAATAGCTGTATACCTATCTAGTTTCCTCAAATTTCCTACCTTGGCTACTGATCAAACTTCTTTGCCTTCTTATCGACCTGATTTGCCTTCATCAGATATTGCCCTTACCTGGTCTCATTGGCTGAGGATATTCATATGCAAAGTCCGACATGAACAGAGTCAATTCTTTATCATCGAATACTTCAGCTAAACTTTTCTCCGGTTTGATTCCATATTCTGCCTTCATTTGCACGAGCAAAGGTTTGAATAAAGCCGTGTTTAATCCCTTCAGCATCCAGAACACAATAACATTTTTCAAACGTTGCAAAAAGTTCATTTTTCCTGGATTCTGAGAGAGCAGTTGTGGCAGATAAGACAACTTGAGAATATTTTCATTTTGCATATGTATGTGGGGTAAACGAGGAGGACATGGGATATATTCGATCCTCCTGATTCCAAGAACCGCCCCAAATAGTGCTCCACAGTAAAAAGAACCATCGTTGATTAA